ATTGAAACATATATATTGTTTTTTCGTTTGTTATGTCCGAAAAATTCATACAAATCTAAAATTTATCTGATTTAACGTATGCTCTATAATTTATAAGAATAACGAAGACCAATTTTACACTTACAAGATATTGAAAAAAATAACATTTTTGTAGATGTTTTGATCAATTTTACATAGAAAAATATTAAAACTAATGGCATTAAAATATGCTTAATCAAACGTATTCACTTTTATTACATTTATACACAATACACATTATTTTTGTACGTTTATATATATTATAAATTATATACTTTTCCATACATTTAAATATATAAAAAATTGTATATGTTAAAATCAATAAATCAACTTATTCAATTAATTCCGCGTTCGCGCGGGTCAAAATCTAGCTGTCGAACATATATTTTCTTAACATGGGCATGTGCACTCACCCAATAGTCAATTAATGCAGGATATGAACATATATAAAAAGAGAAATTATTTGTTACATTTCATAATAGCATTATACATGCAAGACATGGAAAAAGAAATTACAAGAGCAATACTTTGAATATTGAGAAATAAACCTTACAATGTAGACCTTATTCATGCTTACGCAAGAGCAAACTTACGTAAATTGGTCATAACACAAAAACATAAAACACAAAGGGAAACACGCACTGTAATAATCGAACATCAAGTGTTTGACTCAGTTAGTGGTTAGGTTAAAGCCGGTAGGGACGACACTGACGAGGTTAAGGACGGTGTTAGAGACGAAGGCTAACGGTGAGACGAGGCTGCCGAGAGGGAGACTGGGGTTGCAGGTGGCGAGAGGGGTCGTGACGACGAGCCGACAATTAGAGAGGAATGTCGGAAGTAACATCTGAAGTACGGTCGAAGGAAAAGCGATTATTCCGGCACTGTTTGTAGTCGTATTTGCAACGACTATGTTCTGACTTCCGCACTGGAGCTGAACCCCCGCATCTGTTATAGTTAATTTGGAGCACTAGATTAGTAAATATATGTATCTCAAAATGTCTAAGAGATCATATTATGTACTTTGGGATGATATTCAATTTTTTTTTTATAACTTCGAAGTTAAATTCGGGTTGAAACCCTAATTTCTGTTGGCCAGAGTCTTGGGATGATATTCATTTGCATTAAAGAGATAATTTCGTGAATCTATATCTATTTAGTCCGTATACTTATAATATTGCTTCACAACATTGTTGGTTTTACGTTGTAAAAAAGAAGAAGAATATATTATATTGTTGGTTTTACAAACATGGTATACCATATTTTCAAAAATAATTATCAGTTAACCTGATGGTAAATATATGTGATTTAACACAATTTTTGTGTGTGTTGTGTATGATTATCATTTGTAACTATTACATAATATAAAACACCCTGGTTAATTTGCAGAATCGATGCAAATTTTGTTGGGCCGGTTATGCATGATTGATCTAAAGAGAAAGTAGAAGAAAAATGGAAAACTTACTAGCGAAAGGAAGAGCAGAAGTCCCAGCGGAAGTGCCATTGATAGTGCAAAAGAGAACCCCTGCTTGGACATTGACAAGATTGGGAATGCCAAGCCCACCACCACCAGGCACAGGAAGTACACTAAGAAGACCACTAAGAATCTGAGCATTAGCCATTGGAGACAACACAATGAGACACACCAAAATCAATGAGAAGGTTATGTGTTTGTTCTTGAGCATTGCCATGTTTTTAGGGTTATATGCTTTTCTTTGTGTGTGTTGCTTTTGGTTTTGGATGTGATAAAGTGTCTACTCCATGCAGCTCTATTTATAGAACAAGTTTTATAGATCTCAGCCCATCCTATTTATTTTGCCCTTAATTATATATATATTTAAAGTCGGTAATATATTTTGAGTTTACTTTATTATATAATTTTGTGACCTTTCTAGGTGAAAACGTCCGTAGGTTTGATCGTGGACCCGAATACTAATTTCAACTGTGTACGGACAATGTAATTTCAACTATGTACGGACAATATATTTTTATCTTCTTATTTTTCCTACAAATCATATAATTTATCCGAAAATATCCATGCCATTTTGTTTGTTTTAGAGGAATATCCTATGATTAATTAAAAAACGATGAGATAGTACATAAATCATCGCATGCGCGTTCAATTGATACTACTCTCGGTAAGTTATAATTTATGCAATATCAAACTCTAACGGTCGCAAATGGTTGTATTCGAAGTTTCGAACCCATGTATGCAATGATGTAGAGACTTACGAGAACTCAAGGCGTATGTATTGTGATATTCACATTATAAGTCGCGCAAAAGGTAACGAGGTGTAATTAATAATGAATAAAAATAAGGGTAATATATTCCATCTTTATGAACTAGCACACCGAAAATTCGTATCTTTAGAAACAATCAAATTTTTTTGTTTTGAAATGAAAGAAACAATCAAACAATCAAATTTGGTAAAACAACTTGCGTATATTTCATCAAAGAAATCTTGAGTTATAAACATACGATAATCGATAACTTAGATATCGAATGGAATGAGTTTTGTTTGATTGAGTTTTTGGTACTTGCGTAATTTTTCGAGATATGTATAAGATATTTGGTTTTAAATATTAATTTGATTCGATTTAGTTTGGATTTTTCGGTTTCTAGAAAATAGATCTCATTTGGTTTTAAATTTTAGTTTGGTTCGAAGTTTTAGGTTTTTGAATTTTTAAGGTACTACAAACTAGATCCCATTTGGGTAGGCATGTCAATTAGGGTTAAAGTCCGAAACCCGGTCCGGCCCAGCCCTTAAAAATACCGGGTTCGGGCCTGAATATATAAGCCCAGAAAAAATCGGGCCTTTTGGGCTCAATCCATTCGGGCTATTGAGTTTTTGGGCTTTAGCCCGATTGGGCTCGGGCCGGTCCGGAAAGCCCGA